AAAAACACTGGAAGTTTGTTTTTAGCTAGTGAATGATGCAGTTAGATTTGAGTTTTAGTGGGGGTGCCTGGGTGACTCAGTTGGTTAAGCATCTGCCTTTGGATCAGGTCATGATCCTAGGGTCCTGGGATCAAGTCCTGTATGGGGCTCCTTGCTCAGTAGGGAGTCCGCTTCTCCCTCTGCCTCTGCCTGCCACGCCCCCTGCTTTGTGCTCACTCACTCTCTGTAAAATAAATAAATAAAATCTTTAAAAAAAAAAAAAAAGCTTTGAGGGGAGCCTAGGTGGCTCAGTCATTAAGTGTCTGCCTTTGGCTCAGGTCATGATTCTCAGGGTCCTGGGGTTAAGCCCTGCATCAGGCTCCTCCTCAGCTGGAAGCTTGCTTCCCTCTCCCACTCCCCCTGCTTGTGTTCCCTCTCTTGCTGTGTTTCTCTCTGTCAAATGAATAAATAAAATCTTAAAAAAAAAGGGGGGGGGCGCCTGGGTGGCTCAGTGGGTTAAAGCCTCTGCCTTCGGCTCAGGTCATGATCCCAGGGTCCTGGGATCGAGCCCCGTGTCGGGCTCTGCTCCGCGGGGAGCCTGCTTCCTCCCCTCTCTCTCTGCCTGCCTCTCTGCCTGCTTGTGATCTCTCTCTCTCTCTGTCAAAAAAAAAAAAAAAAAAAAAAAAGCTTTGAGTTTTAGAACGGTAACTATGGCTACAGTTGGGAAATGGTTTGAAGGGGATGAGACTACCCACAGGAGAGTAGTTAGAGGTCACAGTGGTGTTTTGGGTGCAAAAGGATTGAGGTCTGAAGTCTGGTGGTGCCAGTGAGGAGGCAGAGTTTGGTGGACACAACTGTGTCCAATTCCCATCTCAAAGTCTGCATCTGGGGAGCCCAAACTAACACAGAGATAGAAAAGTGCTCAAGAAATACTTGGTACTACAAATAAAAGAATTTGATACAGGATAAAGATTTTTTTTTGCTTTTTTTTTTAATTTTTTTTTATTTTCAGCACAACAGTATTCATTATTTTTGTACCACACCCAGTGCTCCATGCAATCCGTGCCCTCTCTTATACCCACCACCTGGTTCCCCCAACCTCCCACCCCCCTACCCCTTCAAAACCCTCAGATTGTTTTTCAGAGTCCATAGTCTCTCATGGTTCACCTCCCCTTCCAATTTCCCCCAACTCCCTTCTCCTCTCTAACTCCCCTTGTCCTCCATGCTATTTGTTAGGCTCTACAAATAAGTGAAACCATATGATAATTGACTCTCTCTGCTTGACTTATTTCACTCAGCATAATCTCTTCCCGTCCCGTCCATGTTGCTACAAAAGTTGGGTATTCATCCTTTCTGATGGAAGCATAATACTCCATAGTGTATATGGATGACATCTTCCTTATCCATTTGTCCGTTAAAGGGCATCTTGGCTCTTTCCACAGTTTGGCTACCGTGGCCATTGCTGCTATAAACATTGGGGTACAGATGGCTCTTCTTTTCACTACATCTGTATCTTTGGGGTAAATACCCAGTAGTGCAATGGCAGGGTCATAGGGAAGCTCTATTTTTAATTTCTGGAGGAATCTCCACACTGTTCTCCAAAGTGGCTGCACCAACTTGCATTCCCACCAACAGTGTAAGAGGGTTCCCCTTTCTCCACATCCCCTCCAACACATGTTGTTTCCTGTCTTGCTAATTTTGGCCATTCTAACTGGTGTAAGGTGGTATCTCAATGTGGTTTTAATTTGAATCTCCCTGATGGCTAGTGATGATGAACATTTTTTCATGTGTCTGAGGATAAAGATTTGAGAGAGGATTCATCAGTGATATCCAGTTTCTAGAGTAGATTACCAAATGGATGGAACAGAGAAAAGATTAATTTTTTTAATGTGTTAGATGACCTTTAAGTAACAATGTACAATTAAATATATGTTTCTGATCCTCAGAAAGATGTAGGCCACAGAAATGTAGAAAACTTGAACACATAGATGGCCAATAAAACCATAAAAGTAGAGGCACCTGGGTGGCTCAGTGGGTTAAGCCTCTGCCTTCAGCCCAGATCATGATCTCAGGGTCCTGGGATTGAGTCCCACATCAGGCCCTCTGCTCAGTAGGGAGCCTGCTTCTCCTTCTCTCTCTCTGCCTGCTTCTCTGCCTACTTGTGCTCTCTGTCCCTCTGTCAAATAAATAAATAAAATCTTAAAAAAAAAAAAGATGCCTGTGCCTCAGGCCATCACTTTAAAAAAAAAAAAAGAACTCTAAAAATGTCAGTTGGTCTATTATTAGAAATTCAGTGAAACACCAAACCTATAAAATAAAAACAGGCTATGAAAGAAGTTTTTAAAAATCAGACAGACATCAAAATTTTTGCCAGCAAAAGTAGAAATTGGAAGTTAATGAAAAATTTTTTTAATGTTCTCAAGGGAAAGGACTGTAACAACTAATTCTGTATCATGCAATACAGAATTCAAACATGAGAATAAAATGAATAGATTTTCAGACATACAAAGACTCATAAATTTAATTGTTCAAGAATTAAACCTCAGCAAACTGAATTCAATGGATTCAAAAGATCATACACCATGACCAAATGGGATTAACTCTGGGATGCCAGGTTAGTTTAAAATATGCAAAAAGTCAATCTGATACATCACATTAAGACCATATGATCATCTCAATAGATTCACAAAATTGTATTAACAAAGTTCAACAATCTTTCATGATAAAAATTCTCAACAAAATAGATTTGAAGGAAATTGCCTCAACACACATGCAAAAAAGAAAGATGATCTGTGAAAATCTCAAAGCTAACATGATGATCAGTGGTTAAAACTGACACATTTTCCCCTAAGATCCAGCACAAGGCAAGGAAGCTCATGCCACTTCTATTCAACATAGTACTAGAAGTAGCAGCAAAAGCCATCAGACAAGAAAAATAAATAAGGGCATCCAAACTGAAAAGAAAAAGGTAAAATTATCTGTTTCTAGATGACATGATCATATATATAGAAAACCCTAAAACCTACACACACACACACACACACACAAACTATAAAACTAATAAATGAATTCAATAAAGATGCAGAATACATACAAAAATTATTTGCATTTCTTTACACTAACAATAAACTATACCAAAAGGAAATGAAGAAAATAATTCCATTTATGATAGCATCAAAAAGAAAAAAATACTTAGGAATAAATGTAATCAGTAAGTGAAAATTCTTCACACTGAAAGCTATAAGACACTGATTGAAAAAATTGAAAAAGACACAAATAAATGGAAAGATCCCATGTTAGTGGATTAGAAAAATTAATATTGTTAAAATGTTTATATTACTCAAAGCAATCCATAGATTCAATAAAATGCCTATCAAAATTCAAATGGCATTTCTCACAGACATGGAACAAAGAATCCTAAAATATATCTGAAACCACCAAAGACCTTGAATGGCCAAAGCAACCCCAGAAAGGAGACAACGCTGGAGGCATCACACTTTCATTTCCTGATTTCAAACTACTATATTTCAAATCAGTAGTAATCTAAACAATATGGTACTAGAATAAAAATAGACACCTAGATAAATGGAACAGAATTGAGAGTCCAGAAATAAACACTTGCATATGCAGCCCCTTAATATTTGACAAGGATATCAAGACTTCTCAATGAGGAAAGGATAATCTCTTCAATAAACGGTATTAGGAAAACTGGATATTCACATGCAAAAGAATGAAATTGGATTCTTATCTTGTACCACATATAAAAATCCATTGAAAATCAATTAAAGACTCAAATGTGAGACCTGAAGCCATAAAATTGCTAGAAGAAAACATATGGAAAAAGCTTATTGACATTGGCCTGGGTAATGATTTCTTGGATATGCTTCTCATCTCAGCTTGTTCTACACAGCTTCCAAGAGTGCCTGCTTAGGGGAGGAGGCTGGAGAAACATCTGGTGGTGCTGACACCGCCACCTCCATAGATGATTTCCCAATGAGTTTCAGAGGCACTTCTGCAGGCAAATTCCAGTGAATCACACAAGCACTCAGAGATCAGGTTCTCAGTTCAGTGGATCTGCACCTTAGTTGGGGTGGTTTCCACCAGCCTTGGTCCATCTGTGCCTTAGAGGGTTGTTTCCTTCTTGCCAGTCCAGGCCACAGTCCTCTGCTTAGCAGCCTCAGGCTATCAGCAACCCAGAGGGAGGTTCCCAGCTTACCAGTCCATTTAATTTTTCCTGTCAGTCTCTCTCCAGCTACCATAAACTAGTCCTGGCCAAGACAACCTAGTGAACTTCACCATCCAATGGGCAATAACTACTCCTTCTCCAAAAGATGAATCCTAGTTTTGGGGAGGAATTCTACCTTTTAAATTTATTCCTTCCTTTGATATTCACCTCTTAGTCCCAGGGAATTCTTTAGAGTAATCATTAGCCCTTTCCAATTAATGCTCTGCTATAATGAACATGAAGGTATGTAACCCTTCCCTGTTCAAATTACTGTGTTATCTGTCTCCTAATTAGGCCCTGAGATACAACATGGAAAATACCTAATACAACAACAGACTTACAGGTATTTGATAAATAGTATCTCTTTTTACTGTATAACCAAAATTTAATGGACAAGAAAATTCACAAAGGGAAGAATTTATATTGGTGCTAGAGTCCAAAGTAAAGGAATATCATTAAACCTATTATTTTTAATAATCAGTAATAACCAATATCTTAATGATATATAAGATCATTTTAATACCAGTACAATATTCTAGATTCATATCTTTTAGTTCTAAAGATATTTGAGATTCTAAGTAATAAGTAAATATTTATGGATTAAGAAGCAGCAAATTGTAATGACATGAGTGTGGGATGGGAGACAGTAAGTATGGATTCCAGTTCAACCCTTAGTTTTGCATTTAAGTGGCTATTGGCAAGTGTTATCCAAATTCTTGTTAGAGCTGATGTCCTCATCTATATATCAAGAAGCTTGTATTAGATTACTTCTATTACTTCTATATCAAAGATTCATTTAATTATTATCTGAAGTCACTTTTTTTCTCCAGAGCTTCCTCATAGCATTTTTTACCTCAGCATTTCTGAGGGTGTAGATTAAGGGATTTAACATCGGGACCACCATAGTATAAAAGACAGCAACAGCTTTATCAATGGGTAGAGTGATCACTGGGCGCAGATACACAAATATACAGGGCACAAAGAATAAGACAACTACTGTAATGTGAGAGACACAGGTGGAAAGGGCTTTGCGCCTCCCCTCCAAGCTATAGCTCTTTAGGGAGCACAGGATGACCACATAGGACACCACCAAGAGGAGGAAGTTTAAAAGACAGATGAAACCACTGTTGACAGCAACAAAGAGACCAAGGGTATGAGTGTCCATGCAGACGAGTTTCAACAAAGGGTACAAATCGCACATGAAGTGATCTATAACATTGGGGCCACAGAAGGGCAGCCAGACTGTGAAGAGGATCTGAATCGTTGCGTGGAGAAATCCTCCAGTCCAGGCCACTCCCAGCAAAAGAAGGCACAGCCTGTGGTTCATGATAGTTGTATAGTGCAGAGGTTTGCAGATGGCCACATAGCGATCATAGGCCATCACTGTCAGCAGGATGATCTCAGTAGCACCAAAAATATGTTCTGCATAGACTTGAGCCATACACCCATTAAAGGAGATAGTTTTCTTCTCGTGAAGGGAGTCCAAAATCAGCTTGGGAGCTGAAGAAGAAGAATAAATTGTGTCTATCAAGGAAAGATGAGTCAGAAAGAAGTACATGGGAGAGTTCAGAGCCTGGCTGGTGGTAATGGTAACCACAATGAGTAGGTTGCCTGAGAGTGTTACCAAGTACAGAACCAAAAATCCCAGAAACACTATATTCTGCATCATGGGGTTCTGTGTAAGACCTATTAAAATAAATTCAGTCACGTTTCTTTTATTTTCCATCTATGTGCTGTGGGGGATAAAAAAAACTTCAGGAAGGAATGCTTTACTTCTAAAAAACAAAAAGGAAAGAAATAAAGAAATAAGGAACCATAAAATCATCAAACAGTACAAAACTCTGACTTTTAACAGTAGTCTAACAATCTCAGATGATTCCTTCCCTTTCCAAAACTTTCTAGGAATAGGTAGGTCAAAACTTCTCTTAGTGGACATGGAAATAAACTTCAATATAGTATTTAAAGCTAAGTTTTGCCATTGTTAATGCTCACTTTTTCCTGGACCTCAGGTTGCTTTATTCTCTGTATCTCAATGTATTCTTAAATCACGAAGACAGAGAAGATTAAGATAAACTGTTCCTCTTACATATGGGCAAGTTACATAATGAGGTACATGGAAAGAACACCTCTTCCAGATGATCCCATAAATGCTTTACTGAAAAGGTAGTTTTAGAGTCCAAGCCCCAAGACAGTGGTCTCCCTTCGGAAGCCCAATGCATCAGATAATCCTTCCAGCGATGAGAACCCTTGAGAAGAAAGTTGAGTGCACTTCTAATTGCCAACTCTTCTCTAAAGGAGAAATCCTTTGGGAGAACCAACAACCAACTAATATGTTTTTATAGCTTCCTGAAGGTCCAGGCCAAAAGTTGGGTTTTATGATCAAAATCAGACAGAAAACCCCAAATTTGACTCATTCATTACTATTATTTCACTTACTTGTTTCTTGCAAATCTTGAAGTAATTTGAGTATATTTTTTAAATGCTTGTCTTTTATAATTTTCATTTATCCCTTTTTGTTCACACCATACAGAAACAAACATACAAACAAAACTTGGTCTTATGTCAAAATTAATGTGTTTGATGCCCTCTGTTAATTGAAAGACTCAAGCACAGGATCAGTTTCTTTTCTTGTCCTAATCCAAAGACCAATAATGTACCTATTACTACTCAAACCCTCTAATACTCATATTTTTGGATAAGTGAGAAATGGAGAATAGTGTTGATCAAACAGAATGAACCTGGTCTTCCATAAAAGAATCCTCAGACTACAATTAAAAGTAAGGACTTATGGGGGTACCTGGGTGGCTCAGTGGGTTAAGCCTCTGCCTCAGCTCAGGTCATGATTTTAGGGTCCTGGGATCGAGCCCCACGTCCCACGTTGGGCTCTCTGCTCAGTGGGGATCCTGCTTCCCCTCCTCTCTCTGCCTGCCTCTATGCCTGCCTCTCTGCCTACTTGTGATCTTTGTCTGTCAAATAAAATCTTTTTTAAAAAAAGTAACAACTTATTTCTTATTTCAGACAAATTTCTTCTAAGCACAGAAATCTTTGTTACTTGTTTAAATTCACATACTCAAACATTTCAAAATGGAAACTTTTATTACAGCTCTGTTTTACTCCATTATTAATAGCATGTGGATTTTTATTTTTACACTATGTAGGTCCTACAATAATAGTTCATTTTTAATGAGTGGTAGTCATGTGCTAGGCACCATACTAAATACTTCACATGCATTATTTCACTTAATCTTCACAACAGTGCTATGACATGGGTACACTATATATATATATATATATTAAATAAAATGAAACTCTGGTTAAGAGAAGGTAAATGGGGGTGCCTGGGTGGCTCAGTGGGTTAGAGCCTCTGCTTTCGGCTCAGGTCATGGTCTCAGGGTTCTGGGGTTGAGCCCCACATTAGGCTCTCTGCCCAGCAGGGAGCCTGCTTCCTTTTCTCTCTCTCTGCCCGACTCTCTGTCTACTTGTGATCTCCATCTGTCAAATAAATAAATAAAATCTTGAAAAAAAAAAGAGAGAGAAGGTAAATGACTTGCCAAAAGTGATAATGATTTTTAAAAAGGGGGGGAGCAGAGACTGCTTTTAAACCCAGGATGTCTGTCTCTAGCTCGTCAGCACTAAATACCTCTCCAATACAGATCCAGTTTACTTCTGAGAATCAGCCAATGTCAGAGTTTGGACAAGTGGGTTGGTAACTAAAGCCACCACCTGAGACCATATAAAATCCATGGCAGTTATTTCGCTAAACTATGAAATGTAGAGTCAGATGCTAATGAGTTCAAGGGTCCATTGAATGCTAAAATTGTTGTACAGTAAAAATGCTCTAGTTCCTTGCAATGAAAACATATATGCTCTTTAAAGATGAGGACACTAAGTTGCAGAGAGATAAAGTCCAAGAAAACACAGCTGTTTAGATCAGACCACAGGAAAAAGTCTTCTAGTGCCCAATGCAGTGATTTTTTTTTTCTACCATCACATCTTGCTTCCCTTGAAATGAATGTTTACAAGAAAAAAATCACCCTAAGGTAACAAAGAGAATTAACTTTCTTCTCTTATCTTTAGCAATGCCTGCCTTGAATCTCTAAAAAAAGAGGGAGGGATGGGGGAAGCTAACTGTGAGTTAAGGATGCAAAAATGCCATCCCATACTGTTGGGACTACATCCATTATAGCAGAAATAACCTAAGTTAGAACGAAATCCAAGAAAGGTTAAGAGTCAGAATAACAAGTGCTTCCAAGCCTGAAATTTAGTGTAGTTTCCCAACCACAGCAGGAGGTACATTCCTTCTTGCAGATCTTATATATTAATGCACCCTCCTCATGGTTCTCAGTTTTAGGGCTTAAGATTTCCTTTAAGACACAGAATCCAAACATTGTCCTTCTCCTCTCTTCCATGCTGACCTATCTTGACGATAGTAAAAGTCACACAGCCTGTCTTGGCTTCACCTCAAATTTCCCTTTGTTTCTTTTCAGTTGCCTCTCATATCTACTCCTATCATTAGAAGAGATTTTCCCCCTCTTTCATCCATAGAAATTATGAAAATCAGAGTACTACTTCAAGGAAATGAGTGACCACACATAAGCCAGTCTCTGGCTATCCAAGCTACCCACACTATATGCCCTAACGCTGAAGGAAACCCTTCAGTGACCATCCAGTTCCAATTTGCTGCTCTACTGCACTGTCTCCACATTCAAAAGCCTAGCAATTGACTCAGGAATCCATAAAATGTAAAATTATTCCTGATATATTATGGATATATCCATATAGAGTGAAGAGAACAAATATTTCTGCAAAATATCCTACAATATCTCAAAGTGGTCACCCATAAAATATCAGAAAGCAATATTTCAATGATTTTAGTTTCAAAACCCCTTGAGGGAAAATGGAAATGTAAGAAACTGGATTAAAAATCAGCAATTCTAGTTAACTTACCTGGTTGCCTCTGTTGTTAAGGAGAATGCCCAATGTATTCAGGAAAAAGAAATAACCATTATACGTAACTGTTCAAACATCATGCCATATACATGTATATTTCTCAAGTCCTCACCAACAGGACAATGGCATTTTCAAAGCTCCAACACTTTAGATATTCAAGTCAAAGGAAAAGAAATTGTTATCTCGAACATGGAATTCAAAGTCCTTAGGTACTGAGAATCTTCTAATCTTCAGCACCTAGCTCTATGGCTATAGAAAAAAAAAAACACACGTATTTCTATCACTTTATACAACTCTCTTATTCTGCCCTTAAAATAAGAAAACAACTTCCTCTTGAGTCATCATGTTTAGAGATGATACTGAGAGCATCAAGGCTTTCTATCTAAGGCTTTGCTCTCTCAGGAATTATCTCTGTTTTTTAAAGATTTGCCTTAGAAATGACTATTTGAGAGAATGCATCTGTGAACAACACATCTTCACCCAAATGTCTCTTTTCCCTGCAGTTTATGCCTATGTGGCATAAACTACATTCTTGATCTATAAATTATGTGATAAAGCATTCCTCCTCCCAGCCCTTGGGTATCACAAAATGGGCGCTAAAGGCTGTAAAAACAACATGGGGTTTCATTTAGATTGCTTATCCCCAAGGAAATATCTTCCTTAGCTGAGGGCACCAGAGAAGGTTAAGATAGTAAGTCAACCTCTCGACTATACTATAAATAAACACATAAGAACATTTGGACTTGATATATTTTCAAGCAGACTAAGATGTAGAGTTGGAGGCCAAATGGAGGTTAAAAGTTCTTGTCCAACTTGTCTGATGTAGAAATCTAAAAAACACAGATTTTGATGGCTTTTCAATGGCCTTTTTTTAGAAATCTGGAGTTCTATTGGCCACCTGATAATGGAAATCTTTCCTAGGCAAACAGATTTCTTCAAATTTTCTTCACACATAGTATTCTCAGGTCAATGGAGATCAGAATGTTCTGTGGTCTTGCAAACATATACTGTAGCAAGTACTCTGACCTGAAGGAAAAAGGTATTATTAAAATCACATATCATGAGAACTGAAGCAGCGGCTATATTTAAATGTATGGCTATGCAGTAGATGGCAGACCAGGAAAAATGTAACAGCAGCTATCCTTACTAAGCCCTATGTCCCTTCCTCCCTCACTTTGGTGTAGTACCTTGATTGATTTTCATATATTAAACCAAACTTGCATTCCTGAGAAAAATCCCACTTGCTCTCAGTATATAATTATTTTTATAGACTATTGGATTCAGGTTAGTAATATTTTTTTGAGGATTTTTGTGTCTTTACATAAGAGATGTTGGTTATAGTTTTCTGATGGTATCATTGTCTAGTCTTGATATTAGGGCAATACTGGTCTTATAGAATGTGTTCCCTCCTCTCCTATTTTCTGGAAGAGTTTGGGAAAGAATGGTGTTAATTCTATCCCAAATGTTTGATGAAATTCACTTCAAAATGAAGCCATCTTGGCATGAGTTTTTCTTTGTGGCAAGTTTTTTTTATTATTAATCCAATCTCTTTACTTGTTATATGTATATTCAGATTATCTATTTCACTTGAGTCATTAGTTTGTATCTTACTTAGAGTTTGTTCATTTCATCTAAATTTTATAAACTGTTGGCATACAACTGTTCATAGGATCCCCTTATGATATTTTTTTTTATTTTTGTAAGGTTCATAATAATGTCCCCACTTTTACACCTGATTTTAGCTGTTTGAGTCTTCTCTCCATTTTTTTTTTTCCT